ACAGACAGACAGACAGACAGACAGACAGACAGACAGACAGACAGACAGACAGACAGACAGACAGACAGACAGACAGACAGACAGACAGACAGAGTCGACGCGAGGGATTAATCGCGTAAACAAAGCGGGGGCGACGGAGGCGATGAGGGTTGGCGCTTGGCCTGGCGCCGCGAGGAGCCGCACGGGAGCGAGAGAGACAGAGCAGCCCAGACGGGGCGGCAGGGGCGGCAGTAAGGAGACGGACTGCGGCACGGGGCGGAGAGAGCGAGCGGGACAGAGAGAGATATCGACCACGTGACGCGGCACAACTCGACGCACAGCACAGCGCCACCAGAGCGGCGGCGGCAGGGTGCGGCGGGGCGGGGCGGGGCAGCAGGCCGTGGCGCGTGGGGAGGGGGAGCGCCATGCCGTGGGAGTCGGCAGCTGCTGGGTCGCGTGTCGAGGGCGCTCTGGGGTAGGGGAGGAGAGGGGAGCGGCACGGGGTGTGCGCCCGAGGGTACGCCGCCGCCCCCGCGCCCGCCCCCGCGCCCGCCCCCGCCGCGCTCGGGGTGCGCTGGACAGGCAGGCCGGGGCCGACCCGACGCCCCGCGCCCCGCCCCGCCCCCCACCACTACTAATGCCCATCCACCCCCTGTCCACTCCCTTGCTCGCGCTCACTCCGTGTAATTTTCACCCCCTTTCACTCCCTCTCACATGACCCCTCTCTCTCTCTCTCCGACTCGCTCCCGCTGTCCACTCCCTCCCTTCGACACCCGGCACCCCCGCCCCACCTCGCCCAGCCCCGCCACGCCCCGCCACGCCACGCCACACCACGCCACGCCAGCCATGTCGCTCTTTGCCGCGCCGTAACGAGCAGCCCGTCACGTGCACGCCAGCACATGCCTAACAAGGCGCCCGCCCCGACGTCCTGCACCCCAGCCCCGCCTCGACCCGCCACGCTACGCCCTGCCACGCCCTGCCACGCCCCGCCACGCCCCGCGGCTACGAGCTGTCCCTTTCCTCACCCCCATGGGGGCCAGGGGGCCCGGGGCCGCTTCGGGCGGAACGGAGGGCCAAGTGCGGCCAGCCCCGGCGAGCTCCACCCCCACC